AGTAAGGCTTTATATGCATGCACTAAGCAAGAAATGCAAACAAATGCTTAGAGAACAAAACGCATAATTTTGTTTGTCAATTGTCCCAATTTGAATGATTTGTATCCCGACAGTCTCGGTTCCTAAATTACTCACAATAAGTGTAAAAAAAGATAGACTAATTTCCTTAACCAGTGATAACAAAATTACTGAGTTTTCAGTTACTCATTTCAACATGGAGGTGAATTTCAACTTTATTTTCTTTATACTACTTAGAATAGCATTACAAATATAAAAATACTGAGTCTGAGCAGACTTATAAGGAGGGTTGCGTGCAACAATATGTACGACAGTTAACGACTAATTTCAGTAATACTGCTCAGAGTCCAGACGGTGCTATGAATAAACTTTGAATTTAGAGTAGGAGATTTCCAGCTTGATCACTCGCCTCTACCTTGAAATGATGTTCATTGCTTGCATAGAGCAATGTGCTGAATTTTGTTAGGTGGAATAAATGTTTTCGCGAATCTTAAAATGCTGCAAATATTATCCGGGTAGCTGTTTGGCCGAAATCAATTACCAATACAGGCTAGATTACTTACGGCATAGAGGGGGTGTTGAAGTAAAGTTTTACTACCAGCTGACAGGATAGTAAGAGCAGTAATATATATTTCAATCGGACAGTCAGCAAGTAAGCTACGCAACATTCCTAATCTTGGAAGTAGAGGTTAGAAAAGGTAGACATCAGAAGTTATTCATCCCGACTTATCCAACAAGTTACAGACTTTTATCAATAGCTGCCTTCGCTAGCTTCATACAGAAGATCAAGTGGCCGGCCGGCCAGAGAGAATTAGCAACAAGAAACTCTGTCAACGAACAAACTAAGAGCCGATTGCTCAACAAATATATAGGAGAAAGTGGAGATAGATCGGCGTACATTGGGGAGGCCGTCGAATGACATCGAGCTCAGTAGGAGCCATCGCTCGGGTGGATTCCGAATGGCAAGCGACGAGTGGGGCATCCTGGGGTGACATGGAGAAGTTCGTGCGAGTAGGAGATGAGATATTATGGACAATCGTGGGCCCAGTTGAAGAGGACAGTGGAAAATAGAGCAAAGTGGAAATGTATTGTTGAAGACCTATATTCCTCTCGGAACCCAAGGGAATAATAATAATACCCTATAGCGGTTCTCGTATATCTTCGTCCATTGTAGTGAATTTCGGATTTGTGATAAATTGAACTGAAGCACTTTTGTGCAAAGTTCTACGGTGATAAGGCAGTTACTATTTATCCACTGAATATTTCGTATAAGGTATATTATGATGAGAATATTAACCACAAACAGTAAAACAATGGAATTCATCGTCAGCTTCTTATATAATGACTTCGTTAAATAATCCCCCTGATGATATTCTGGATAGTGACCAGGAGACATTCATTCAACATCACGTACCTATATAAGTGCCACAAGTAACCTCAGAAATCATCCGTGAGAATGCTCAAGTTTGCTTATTCGACTACAAGAGACTACATCTAACTATTATTATCATTACCAGAGTAGTTATTTATTTGATATGAAACTGCTTGTAATAACAATCGAACATGTAATAAATACATTTCCATTTGCTACACTGACGTTTTAAGTCATGTGTGTAGTGATCCCTTCTAATAATTTACTAATATCGCACAAAAAATCAGTTTAATTAATATCTTTGATAAGTTGTATTTAATTTATATTAAACAGAATTGCGTATAAAATTAAAAAAAAGGAAAATAAGTCAAGCGAATTGCACAGAAACAATCACAGAACTGATGATAGTAAGCAAATTCTGGGGGAAGTACATGAGAAAAGAAAAATTAAAATCATGAAGTGTAGCACGTGTACACGAATGAAGCTTTAACGACAGGCTACTTGTGGCTGAAGCGTAGATAGACCGCTGATAAGCAGACGCATTCGTATTTTCTCTCTTTCAAGTAATTTGGATAAATGTCTGAAATAGTAAACAAAAAAATATTATCACTTATTAAACATTTTTTAAAATTTAACCTTTTTACTACAAATATCAGTTAAATAAAACAAACAATCTAAGATGAATTTTCAGCTGACTTAAAAAATAATTCGATGCTAGCTCAATACAGAGATTCAAACGCATCCTCGAGACATGATAGCGTCATCAGCTGTTTGACTCTAACAATGTGACCTACAAACTGTGTGCTGATGATGGTTCAGTGGTAGGATGCTGGCCAACCAAACAGAAGGTCCGGGTTCAACTTCCCGCCAAACAGCAGATATTAAGACAGGAGCTAACAACAATACCCCGCAAAAAAACACCATCATTAATGGAGCTCACAAGCGTGAAGATCACGTTCCACTTGTGACGCAAGGATCGGAAGAAAACCCATAATTATTTCTAAAATAAAACTTTTGTAGATAGTAGTTAGCTTTATCTTAAACTGATTATTGAACATCTTGTTGACCAGTAGTAAGTTGAAGTAATATAGATTTTGACCACAATGACATCAAGAGTGTATTTGTTTTTTATTGTCCTAAAAAAGTTATTTTCTCCTGGTGATCATAGCAACTACAACCAATTCCCCTGGAGACCTATTGTATTTAACGACTATACCGTTTTAACCAGTTTAAATAACCACTAAGATGATGTTACAGTACTGGACTACACTGACTCCTAGTTTAGAAATAGGGAATGAAGTGGTAGAGCACGTTGACCACTTCACTTATTTGGGAAGTACCATCAGCCCCAACGGGTTGATCTCCGACGAAATCTCAGCATAGCGGATACAGAAGGCTTGTTTCTCATATGCCAGTTTACGCTGTCTCTGGCTTGGTAGACGTGATATCCGGCTATCGACCAAAGGGCGGGTGTACTGCTTAGCAGTCCACTCCGTCCTCTTTTATGGCTGTGAGACCTGGCCACTGAGAGTGGAAGACATGAAAAGATTAGCTGTCTTTGATCATAGGTGTCTGCGTTCTATCTCCCGTATAAAGTGGTATAATAAGGTGAGCAATATTGAGGTTCGGCGTCGAGTGCTAGGTAAGGAGGGGAAATCAATAGACATGGCTGTGCAATTACATCGATTTAGATGGTTAGGATATGTGTTACGTTTGCCTAGTCATCGCCTTCCTCGACAATGGGCAATGTTAGCTGACATACGGTCAGGCTGGAAAAGAGCCAGTGGCGATCGAACCAAAACATGGCTTCGTCAGTCAATGAAATCTACAACAGTTAGTTTAAGCCACGTAGGAAGGTGTGGACTTCCTGACTAGTAGGGGTCCTCGGGACAGTAAAAACCAATGATTGGAAACAGTTGGTGATATGGCTCAAAATCCTTCTCAATGGCTGGTGCAGATGCATCCACTCCTCGTGACTTATAATTTCCAATTAAACTATATTGTTCTCCGTTACTACTATTCCTTTGTCTCACCTCTGTTTACTGTCTATATTACGCATTTCTTCCACTTTCTTCTCTTGCTTTGTGTACTACATGGAGTGTGGCGACTTGAACTGCCGCACATATGTGCAAAGTTCTATGTCGAATACAGACAGACAAATAACCACTAAAAAGTTTAATCATCTGCTGTAATTGAAGAATTCTATTCATCTTATCCGACTGCTATATATAAATAAATAATAGGCAGAATACCTGAAGGAAAAAGTAATCCAAAGTGCATAGGATGACTACAATATCAATAACAGTATATCAAGTGGTGATCTAGTTCAAGTGTCAATGGGGAAAACCATTACATCATTCTCTACAAGCTAAAAAATTTTAGAAATCCAGCTTGACTAGAACAAAAAAACAAACACCAATATACAACACAGATGCATCATATTCCCCTTTGTTTTCAAAACCAAGACACCTCAGAAACATGGTTGGTTAGGATGTCAAAACCAGAATCAGAAAGGCTACATAAGTGTTGATTGCTCTGAAATCAGTCTGGAAATCTCCTGCACTCCACAGCATAAACAACAAAATTACGATTTTCAACATCAATGTTTAGTCAGTCAGTCACTGCTTCTATATACGTCAGAAACTTGCCGAGCGCGTCACTGAAACCACAGCCTATTTCAGAACTGTATCAACAGCTGCCTTCTCCGACTCCATAGTAAACATCAGAGATGGCCGGCCAAAAACAATTACCAACAGGAACCTATGGGAACAAACTAACCAAGATCCTATTACTCAGCATATATGCAGAAGGACAGGGAGATGGAGATGGTCACATGCTGACATGGCGCAGCAGCAGGCCATAGGTCGAGTGGAACCGGAATAGAAAACGACTGGTGTGGCAAGGGTTTGAGGATGACATCGTGGAGATTGTGTGAGGCTATGGGCGACCGTGGGGCAAGATGAAGAGGACTGTAGCGAAGACGGTGAAATGGAGATGTGCTATATTGCACTTGGAAACCAAGCTAAGAAAAATAATAGTAATGATAATAATAATCGTAAGCTATAACACGACAAAAATGACTGTGATCAGTCAAGTGTTGGATAAGCCCTAACGAAATTGCTTTCCAGCTGATTAAATCCATATATATATATATATATATATATATATATATATATATATATATATATATATAGTGCTAATATCACTGAACAACTTTTTTATATTTTAGTTGAAACCTGTCAAATAGTTTTCTTTTGTCTACTAACTAGTTCTTCTATTGAATCAAAATATTAATGGATTGTTCCTGTCTGGTATGCAATGTTCACGTCATTTTACGATTAGAGTAATACAGGTGGTGCGGAGGAAACAAACAAAATGCGTTGTTCTTTAGCATTTTCATATTATTCAGTGATAAAGCCACAATGAAATGTGGTGTTTCTCTTCGCACTGGTATTTAACATCATGTAGATATCAACGCAAATATATATATATATACATATATATTTATATATGCAACACATCAAATAATACTTGAAATGGTTTCTTATAATAAGAAAGGATACACATTCACTCATTCAGGTGGGGCGATAATAATCTTATTTCAACTTACTCTGATTCTTCTAAGCTTAAATGATCCAACGCTGGAGATATTTCAATATTGAAACGACTGCATATTTCCTTTAACAGTTCGTTTGATTCTTTTGTAAATAATTGATTTGGTATAATTGTCTTCATTGTATTCAAATCAAGTGTTAATTGTAATTGAGCTAATTTCGACCAGTCAGTTATATTTTTTTCACTAAATGAATAATAAACAGAGTATGAAAGTTATGAAAAGTTATGCGAATATTGAAGTTTCACGCACTAATTCTTTTTTATGAATACATGTATATATCATTAAAAAAAAGACATTTTCAACGTGCCTGCGAAGGTAACAAATGATGTCAGTTAACATGAGAGTCGAAAGTTAATAAAATATGCCCAGAAGTTAAATTTTAGAAATAATCTTTTACACTGTCTATTGATTTCAATATGTCTACTTCACTACACGCACCAACAAGATGCTTGATGATAGCACTGTCGAAACTGCCTCTTACCATGCGACGTAGGCATTTCTGGCACAAATTCAAAGAATTTAAAGGTGCGTCTTTTTTTCTCTTTCCCGATAGTCAGTAGAAAATATAGGATCTTTTGAATAAAGTTTCATTTATAAACGAATTACCTATCACCTATAGATAATTTAATAATAATAATAATAATAGCTTTAATCTGACCAATGTTTAAGCAGAGTAACACTATCAAAGCCAAAACCACAATGACCTTGAACAGCCAATCAGAACTCAGATGCAGAAGAGCCGCATAATCGTTGAAAAATACAGTAAAAAAAATATTGCAAACTTGATAATACACTGCATAGTTGTAGCTTATGTGTTGAATGAATGTCTCCCAGTCAAAACACAAAGGATCTATAAAGAAATTGTACCATGCACGATATACTCATTCATCCAGGTGACTGTAGGTCATGGTACGCAATATATAGTGATGGAGGTTTTCGGTAGCCCAAGTTGTAAGCAGGCAGCGGCAAAACTTCAGTGTGACTAGTCTATCAAGATTGCAGAAGAACTGATGATCAAGCTAAAATACTGATTTTACTTTCTGATCGACACTATTACTTCACCAATAAATAATAAGCACTATGTCATCATGTTGTTTGTTTACCTAACTGAAAAAAAACTGCAAAGTGACGTCACATTTGGACAAGTAAATATAGTCTGAAAGAACGTTATCCAGCACAGAACCTTGCACAAGTTCAAATTGCAACACTCCAGGCAGCATACAAAAAAGAGGAAAACAGAAATCCAACAGGACTATAATGAGAACAAATATGCGGAAGGAAAGTGGGAAAAACAAGAGCGCTTAGTCGATTTGGGAAATTATAAAGAGTGAATACACCTGAGCCATCCAAAACGATTTTTGAGCTATATCACCATAAGTTTTCAGTCATAGTTTCTTAGCATCTCAAGGACCTTAGCCAGGCAGTCTACACTTATCTGTAACAACAGAAGACAAGGGCCAGGCAACAGATCGTTGATTAAGGAAAATCAACACATATTTATAGATTTTAATGTACATTATTGTAGATTATTGTTAGTAGAAAATACAGTCTTTTGATTGGTTGTTTCTCACAGAAAGTTAACCTTGCATCTCTTTGTGGCTGTCAGATCATCCATGTGCTAACTATATCCGCCTACGCAAAGCCTTTGTTCTCATTTGTCTCACCACCAATGTTAGGGACATAAACATTGACGTCAATTACTGTCTACCAACTTTGGCTAGCAGCCAGCTCTCACCACATATCTACGTGGCCTGCTGAAACCAACTGTCAAACACTTCATGGACTGATTTCAGATGTTGGTTTGACCACCCTTAACTCCTTTCCAGATTAAACCTATGTCCGCTGACATCGACAGCCGTGGAAGGCTGTGGCTCGGAATATTTCCTAGCCATCTCAATCCAATGTAACTCCACAACCCCCCCTCCCCGCCAGGGATTCATTTATCCTACTAACTTAACACTCTACGCTTGACCTCAGTCTTTCTCACTATATTATGCCACTTAACACGAGAGATAGAACGCAAACATCTGTGGTCAGAGGCAGCTAGCCTTTTAGTATCCTTTGGCTTTTAATGTCCATGTCTAAAGAGTCATAAAGATAAATGGACAGAGGGAACTGCAGTACACACGTCTTTAAATCGATAGCAAGAAAAAAATGTTACCAAGGTACAACTTTTGACAGTAAAGGTATGCAGCTGATATATTAGTAGAGAAAATTTACCTTGTGGCATATTTTTGCCAGCTTCTTTTTAAACTATATATGTCAGTTGTATTTTTGCACTGTTAATTTCTGGACACAAGTGTATATCAACTCAACAACTACTGAATATGTCCAATGTTGGCTGGGCTTAGTGTTTTTTGAACAAACACTGTAAATTGGCAAAGTGAAGAAGACTTAGGGTCTATCTGCTTGCAAAAAACAACATGAATAAATTATGAAGGAAGTCGAAGGAATTGTTGAAGAATGTCAAAATACTTTCCGCAACTGAGTTGTAATCAGCGCGTCATCCCTTTTAGTTGAGAGCTCAGATAACTGCGAATACAGTCCCAATGAATGAATCCATACTTGTCTGTAAGATTGCAATGTTTTGCTCTTGGAATTTTGTTTGTTTGTTTCAGATCTAGATAGGACAAACGCTTCTACAGATCATACCATACCGCTAAAGTGGTTTGGATGAATGTCCGATACACACTCTCCTACGTTACACACACAATATGAGATAGTAATTCGATAAAGTTAATTTGCCATTCAAAAGTATCAGTTGCATAAACAGTATCACTTTAAAAGCATGTTTTTCTGTCATATATTTGCAT